ATATACACTTCTTGAGGTTGGCGTACAACTTATGCTTGCGCATAAGTTGAAGAACCTGACGAACGTGAGTTCTGTGAACTTCAACGTCCGTCTTCCCGTCCATAGCCCGGCTATGGACGAACACATCGTCGAAGTAACTCGGTGCGAAGTCTCGCACCGGTCTCAACAGATTTGTTACACATCTGTTGAATGTTGCAGGGGCATTACTCAGCCCCTGTGGCATCACTAGCCACTCCCACAGCATCCCGCTGGGGGTACTCACTGCTGTGAACGGGACGTCCCGTTCACGCATCAGGATCTGATAGAATCCATCCATCAGATCCATGGACGAAAAGATGGTACTCTTTGACATACCATCTATGATGACGTCCTTCCTCGGTATCGGCGTCTGAGCCGGTACCGTTGCAGCATTCAACTTGTTGAATGCGTGCACTATCCGCCACCCTCCTGTGGCCTTTCGCACACAGAAGGTCGGAGAGACTGTGAGGGGATGTTGATTCCCTCACATGGCCCGCTGCAATAAGCGATCGGCAAAGAACTTGTCGATCGCTATCACTTGTTCACGAGGCAGTGGCCACTGCTTCATGACACAGTATTTCGAGCCCGGTTTGAGCTCGATCTCGTGTCGAGTGCCTTTGTCCTTAGGCAACTCGCAAGGTACGGATTCAGGGAACACATCCCTGAATTCGATCAAATCCTTATACAAAGGATTTGCCTGAAGTGACTCCCAGGATTGGGACGCGTATCGCTCAATCCGAGTCTTCTCATCGAGGACACTTTCGTCCATCGATGAGCTGCTGAGAACCCGTTCGTTCTCAGCAAATACTGTTGCCGACCGAATGTCGGTCACATACTCGTCCTCTGTGACGAGTATGCAGATCTGCTTGACTTTGCCACTACGCAGATCACGCAAGAACCGTTTCGGTTCTAGCGTTGGCAACTGAGTTATCTCCGAAGTCAACTTCGGAGGCACAATCAGATCAAGCGTATAAGCGCCTACGCTTGATCCGTCATTAACCAAGACGTTCAACGTCTCGGTTTCTTCCTGGGAACTTGCTTCCACAGGTTGCTGAGGGCCTAATCCCTCAGCAAGCGACTCTTGAGGAATTCCTTCCTCAAGTACGTGGGGACTTATTCCCTCGACGTCTTCCGACTGTGGCTGTGCAACCACAGTCAGGAACCGATCCTCTACGGTCGACTCTCCAGTCGACCTAGGATTTTCATGTTGCCCCTTGGGGGCAACAGACTTCTTTCTTCTAAGATGCTGCCCGCTAGGCATGCATCCATGTCCCAGTCCACTCGACTTATTCGAGTGGTGGACCTTCGGCGCAGCCTGTACTTCTGTACAGCCGCCGGGAGCTTGCTCCACAGTGTAGTGATCAACTACACTGTGACCTTGTGCAGTCGTGCTAACGACCGTACCGCAAGTGAGGCCATCGCACTCACTCGCAGAACATCCACACGCTTGTGGACGCTCCAAGATGTTCATCAGATGGCCATCTGATGAACAAGCAGCAGGCATCTTCACGGATCGATGCTGCCAGCTCACCCTTGGCTCGTATTTTCTGAGCCAAGGTAATCCCAGGATGACATCAAATTTGTCATCCAGATCTAGTACGATGAAATCATCATCGTACTGCTCGCCCTCTAACGTGTAGTGGATTCCTACTACACGTTTCTCAACGGTTATCGATGCGCCTGTTGCAAGGCGCACCGTCATCCTTGTGAGGGGAATGTCGCGCTCAACGAACTTGAGCCTACGACCCTCTAGTGACTGGCGACGAACAAAGTTGTTCGACGCCCCACAGTCTACTAGGGCACGAAGCGACAAGTCATTTGTCGCTTCCAACTTCAAGGTGATGAGCGAAACGTCATCACCAGGTGCAGAGACACACAATGATTGTGTATCTGGAGCAACTTTCGTCAAGAGGTTTGCAAATTCTCTTGAGGTTGCTGGATCAGTAGGGCGCTCCGCCCCTACTGACCCCGACCATTTTTTGATGGCCCGTCTCGCTGTTGCGGCTTCGCAACAGCGCTGGACCCACGCCCATTGCCCTTTCTGGCGAATGGTCGTCCATTTCGCTCAGTACTGTTTGGTACTGGGCGCGGAGCACTACACTCGTATGCGTAGTGCCCTAACTTCTGACAGCGATTGCACCTCTGCAATCGCTTGTTGTTTGAAGAGCGAGGTCTCTCGCTCTCAACATAGCGGAGGTCCATTGGTTCTGGACCTCCGATCTCTTGTCGTCTCGGTGGACGGTAAGAGTTTGAGCTAGCATGAGCCTGTCTCATGCTAAAGTCTTCCTGTTCCGCGGCTGATATCGCTTCTTCAAGCGTATTCAGCTCAAGGCGGAACAGGTGGCTCCTGACGGGCCCTTCTGCGAGCCCTTGCATGAACACCGTAATCAACGTGTGTTCATGAACTGGGTTTGCAGTTATACTACTCGCAAGGAGTCGTATATGTTGTGCGTAAGCGTGCACATCACGCTTACCCTGCTTGAGTTTCAGGAGCTCTGAACGAGCCCTGAACTCAGCACGTGGCGGCTCAAACGTTTGTCTGAGCCGGGACTTGAAGTCATCTAGCGACCTAAACACATTTGGGTCGCTACTCTCGAGTCCCAGGGACCAAGTTTTGGCACGCCCTGCCAAGTGGGTCTGAGCAAATGTGAGTTTCATTTGCTCATCTTCGACGCGACGAGCCCTTAGGGCTCTGTCGAGTTCGACAAACCATAGTAACAGGGAGTCCTCCGGGACTCCACTGTACTTGGAGATGTCGACTTTCATCACTTCGGGACGACGCGCATGCGCCGTCCCGCCCACAGCAGCATGGAATTGCTGCTGTCTCAACAGCTCCGTCTGTTGAGCACCGAGTTCTCTCAACTGCTCGGCCTGTTGAGAGCCTTGCTGGTGAAGCAAGGCTACTTTCTCCCTCTCGAGAGCAAGTTCATTGTGAATGAACTTGGCGATAGCAGCATGTTGTTGGTCTCTGTCTAGAGACTCCAACATGGTGCTGACGACGAGTTCGCCTACGGTAGAACTCATTCGTTCTACCGCACCCCATTCGATGTCACTCAAATGGGTAAACCCTTCACGCGTGGCGTGAAAGGTGTCTTCTTCATCCAACATGTTCATGTTGGATGATGTGGTCCTTGGAAGGACTACAAAGTGCTACCAGGTGTAACGGGGCACACCCTTGCGTAACTTAACGCAAGGGATTTGGGTGCCCCGACGGACGTACACGTGGCGAGCGAGGAAGCGTAGGTAGGGTAAAAGTAGAACTGTTATATTAATAAATTAAGTCTTTAAACTACTGTCTCTTCGTTTGACTTAATTCAATTATACTAATATAACTGCATGTATGGTGACGTCTCGTCACCACTCATTGCGCGCGTCTTGCGGCGATTGGTGGGTTGATATCATCACGATATCAACCAATGAACAGACCCTTTGGTCGACCCTTCAATATCACCACTTTGGTGATATTGTTTAAAGAATATCCATCTTATATTCTTTATTGTCACTTTCCTTAAGTGACAATATCATGTAACGGGCTGCCCCGTTACACGGATCGCGCGATTCACACTTTCCATCATTCTTCTGCTCTTCTCCACAAAACCGCAACCAAGTTCATCGTACAGTCCCTTTACGTCAAAAGGTTACAGTGATAACTTGCTTTGACGTGCATCCGATACGCCTATGCGTGCTTGTACGTGTTGTTAAATCATCAGACCCGACATATGCATACCTGGGTGTACCTCCGCGGGTATATCTTACCCTTGAAACCCTGGCTCAGTTCCTTGAGCCCTCCCATAGTTGACCCCGTCCTGGGCCGGTGTCTCCACCATGTAATCCCCAACAACAGCTAGGTCGTCTGGCACAATAGTAGGTTGCTGGTGAGGCGTTCGGAGAACGTTAGGGTGGTGGCGTATGCTACAATACATGGATTGTCGTACCCGTCCTTGAACCGAGAACCGAACCAAAGATGTTCGACTTCGGTGAGGCCTTACTTCGGTATGCCACTTGATTTGACTAAGAGGATTTAATCCTTCCCATTCATCCTGTCAAGTCACCGAGCATCACGAGCATCTGTTCCAGTGCCGCTGTGGGCACTGCTTACTTCTCCTCCATGTTGGGGCCGTTGGTCGAACTCTGACCAGCGACCAACACAGCGGGTTCGGCCTCTTGAGTTGCGCAGACAACACGATCCGTTGGGATCACAACCTGCTCGATGAAGTGTTGTAGTTGCACTTGTGCAAAGGTTGTATGAAGCGAAAGTGAAATAGGTTGACCGTTAACTTCGTTCGTTACACTTCCCTACATGTCTTCCATCTGCACTGCAACTTGACCAGGTGAAGTTGCAGATGGCACACGTCCAGTCCGTGTGTCACCGTGTGCTGATCCCACATGTCTTCCGTCCCTCCCCGTCTCACTGGCTTGACATCCTGATCGTGCCACGTGACGTCCGTCTCTCCGCGTCCCGCCTATCAAGTTATCAGAGTAATAGCCAATTAGGCGAGATCGAACCTTAACTGTAACAGGTCTTGAAGTTGACCGTCCAACCCTCAAGCACCTGTGAGAAGTGATATATTCCAACACTTACTCGATATTTAACCACAAACTCCCGATGTGTTACCTCGCTCACCACGTATTTTGCGCGTCTATCAGCGATTGGTGATTTATTTGGTCGGTATTATGGTCTATACCATCCAACACTCGAGCGGTGCCACAGATCACTTCTCGTGAAAAAGCCGCCAATATTTCCTTAGTCAGGTAATATTGATGGATATGACTAAATGGGATAATTGTCACGTTGGCACAATCCGTGAATATGACATGTAACATGCTCACCCCATTACATAGAGGGTGTTTTCCGAAAGCAGCAAAGACAAAGAGAGGGTATCGTTCTTATCATCGTGTCTTAAAATGTGCCAAATAAGATTTCCCAATGTTATTAAGTTTAGCGCTTAGATCACATACACGATCGTAATTGCCATCTTCACATGAACTGGGTAAGCTCATCACTGGAACTAGCAGGCTCGCTGCTTGAGTCTGTGGATGAACAAGCAGCGCTCACACTGGCCGGTGAGTATGCTCAACTGCTTTTTGGGCCCTTGTCGTTTACTGCTGACGTTTACCGTTTCTCCGCTTTCATTTGTCAGGGAAAGAAGGAGAGGAGGATGGAGCACAAGAACAAAGCAAAAGGATGCTACCAACTATGCGAACGAGTCAAACGTCCGCAGTAAACGCATTAAGCATGAAGGACAATACCGGTGAATCTATGCCGAAAGAATCGCCAGTGATGATGGTAGGATAACATACGTTGACGTTATTGTATTGGGACTTAGCAGCATTTTTAACGATGTATGACGTGCTTACAGGAACGCGCATCGGACAGGAGCAGTTTGAGCTGCACGAACGCACAAGCTAAAAATCACACGAACGTGGCGCCGCCTTCTCACTCGATGTCAGGAAAGAAATCGGCTGAAGTCGAGCGTACGATGTCTTCGCAGTTGGAGAATGTGTCGTCTGGAACTGGCGGGGACACCCCTCTCAGTAACGGAAGCAGGCAAACTAGTTCGCTGGATGGAGAAGTTGATCGATTGCACAAGGAGCTAAATCAAGCAAAGAAAGAGCTGCGCGTGAAAGAGAAGCAGCTAAGCAGCACGCAGAAAAGCATGAAGATCTGCGAAAAGGAACTTGTTGCACTAGAAGAGGAGTGTCGAAATAAGGTCACGCACGTGCAGCACGAGGTGAGTGGATAGAAGTCGCTTTGTACGTCGTGTCACATACGTGCTGTACTGATCTACCTCGTTACACCTAGTTGTCAGCTATTCAACAGGGCAAGACCTTAAATGAGCAGGAGTTCGTTCGCGCGCTCGAGAGAAAGGACAATCAAGTGCGCTCGATGAAAGCTGAAATAGATGCTCTGTCAAAGGCAAACGCAAAGTGCACAGGCGATATCGATTTACTAAAGGCGGAACTGGCAACTGCGGTTCAGTCAAAGGATACATTGTGGACTTCGGCCGCATCAGCAAGCAACGAGTCTGAGCAGCTGATCCAGTCTCTTCGCATTGAGCTGCAGGACACACTGACGGCGATGCATGCATTGAAGCGTGAGCACATCGAGTCAAAAAACACGATGTACTCACGCCAGTCGAAGCTAGAAACTGTCAATGCCGAGCTTCTGAACAATGTGGCCAGTTTGGAGCGTGAGCTGGCAAAGGCAAGGGAAACCGCTTCTGTTGGTTCTCAAACGAGATCCGCAGACGATGCGACTACCGTATCTAGTTCAGCATCTATCGGTACTAACTCGATGAATGACGACTACCGGCGGGTGCAGCGGAAGTCGATTGTAACGAAGAAGTTGCTACATGACGAGTCAAAAAAGAACGAGATGCAGAAACAGGAGATCATTACACTGACTGGTGAAGTTCATCGACTGGAGCAAGCGATAAAGAATACAGAGGAGCGCTCAGCAAGACAGTTGGCCGCGGTCTCGACAGAGAACGAGGAATTGAAGGAGCAGGTGAAGCGACTGACATCGCAAGATAATGCCACAACGGCTGCCAGTGACGAGCTACGCATTCAGCGATTGACAAAGAGACTGATCGAAAAGCAGGAGACGATTGACTCGTTACGCAGCCGTGTAACGACAATGGATGTCCGTCTACAACACATGCAGTTGCAAGCACAGCAAGCCGAGGAAAAGTTTGCCCGGGTAGTGCAGCATGGCGGCATTGATGACATGGAGATGGCAACATCTGTCGGGAAGACCGGTAGAAGTGACATGCGCTTACGGCCAAACCGCATGGCCAACATGATCTCCCGCGTGGTTCCCGTGGTAGGGCGCAGCCATCACGTTTGGACGGCACTAGACGTGCTCGACAGCTGGCTGCTCTTCCTCGGCCGGGTGTTTCTGCAGGCCGCATTTGCTCGCCTCGCAATGATGTGCTACATCGTGTTGATCCATTTGTGGGTGTTTACGATTATAAGCTTTCACACGAGTCACCTGACTGAAGAGACGCAGCTCGCAAGCGCCGCTGAGTACGGCGCCGTTGAGCGAGAGGAAGATCTGATGCCAGGAGGAGGTCACTAAATGTGATGGTTTTGTGCTGTTGATACGGGATTCCCGTGCTAATCAAACATGCAGCAAGCCCATTGTGAACCTATAAACCTGCTTGACTTACTTCACAGCGCTTACTTCACCGCACGTTCCGACTAGCTAAACAGCAGCCGTTTCATTAGCCATCGCAGCGGTTGGAAAAGTTCAGTCCGTTACACTCCCTACGAACCGCATTCACCTAGCCCTGCCCAGGCTCTGTCCGGGATGTGTAGCAATCGACCCATCCAGTCAGACCTGATCCCGTCACTCATCGATCGTCCGGTCATGCGCCCGACCACTGGAGCGCCCGTGTCAACCGCCAGCGAAAACGGCGTCAGCTCGACGTCCCCCGCGTGCCTCAGCTCGAAACAGGTCACGGCCAAAGAGCTCGCGTGGCTGCAGCGTTGTCTGCCCATCTTCGTCCAGCCGGACGTGGACATCAAGAACCGCAACGATTTGGTCAGAACGTTTTTTCGCTTCGAGCGCGACGACGAGTCGGGCCACCTCGTGTGCAAGCTCTGCCTTGTGTTTGCAGGCGAGTCAAGCTATAACCGAGCGCACGAGGAAGTGGAGAACTCGTTGGCCACGCTGTGCTACCGAACGTTCAATCGACGGACGTACAAGCGCACAGCCGACATCAACTACATGGAGTTCCGGTACATCTGTATTCTGTCATTGTTGGAAAGGAGAACTGGTCAGTGTCTATGCTGAGCGTATTACTCGTGGTTGTGCTGGCATGCTGCATGTATATGCAGGAAGGTTGACTTGGACCCCGACGCGAGTGTACCCTGGGCCACCATCTACTCGCAGGATTACGGAGGCGATCAGCAGTGGGCGCAGGGGGAGAAGAAGAACATTGGCAATTGGTTCTCCCTCATGCACCACTATCAAGCAGAGGTTGCAGTCTCGAACTGGAAACTGCACCCGCAGACTTACCGTCCGTACGTTTACCTGAATACTTGCAACCACATGATCGGCGAGAAGGACAACAACCCGAAGCTCAGCAAATTCAACTGGATCGACTACCCGTTCCAGCAGGGTCAGGAAGACGATGTACTTCGCTACGTCGTGGACCACGTGCCTACCAAGTGCAATCTGTATTCATATGCGTGCTTTTGGCGCGCACGCAACGGCGGGGGAATGTGTGACCGCCATCCAGGAGGCTCCTCGATCTCACGAGACGGCAAGTCGATTTACTTGCAGTACGCGTCCACCACGCCAGGTGCGTAGCTTTCTGCAGCTTTACCGTCTCGTGAGGATGCATGTTGTATGAGTACAGAACGTCAGCCACTAGAACGAAAGGGAGGAACAAAGCAAATGTTGTCCATGCCAGGGAGCCCGTGTACCTAACTACGGACGGATAGCACTACCGAACCGGTGCGGGAGCCACAGGTCCGTTCACTGACGACGCCGTCTTGTCACCGAGTGATGATCCATGTGCTTGGCCACCAACTCACTTCACAGAGCGTTGTCGCTCTCTGTGAAGAGCGCGCGCATAGTGCAGTTGTGGCCATGGTGCTGCGTTCGTACCAAGCTGTCATTAGTCGAACTGCTGGCGCAGCGTCATCTCGGTCTCCGACTTCCAGCTACGAAAGTCAGCGCCAATACCTGCCTGGCCCTTCACTCGTTGGTTCTTGACTCGTTCCTTGGCGTCTTTCCGCTCACGCGTCGCAAGTGGCTGTAAAGCCGCCGGTCTCTCCGTCGGCCGAGGCCGTTTCCGGGCGTTGCTGCCGCTACCCGCAATGCCCTCGACCTTCTCTCGCCCTCGCTGCTGCGGCTGCGGCTCTTCTGGATCCTGTTGGTGGCGCTCCGTCCTCGCTTTTGCAGTCAAATCAAAAGACTGGACAGCGCTGTGGAGCTTGATAGAGCGAGTAGGCGGCAGGTAAGAAGCTGTCGACGCGGACACTGCCGACAAGACGTAGTCGGCTGACGGCAGACGCTGTGCAACCCCCTCCTCCTCGTCTTGTCCCTCCTTTTCATCCCGCAGTCGCGTGTTGCGTTCGCGTATCACGCCGCCCGTTTCTCCCTCGCGCTCGCTCTCGCTGCTGCTGCTGCTGCTGCTCGCATAGTCGTCTCCCATCAAGTAGGACATTTGAAGTCGTTTACATATGTAGCCATGTCGAGTGGTGCACGGTTGGTCCACACACGAAGCCACAATAGCTTTTCGATCCACATAGCTCAGTGGCAATGGATACATCGACTCGTGGGGCCCAGTCGTGGCTCAAGAGCGAGCTAACGAGCGCGTTGGGCTTTGCGGAAGTGGATGAGATCGTGGCGTACATCACGAGCACCTTTCGCTCCAAGCAAGAGGCGTCAAGTTACCTCATTGAGCTGCTGGGCATTCCGGCAACGCGGGCGGAGCACATCAGCACGCGGCTCTTTTCGCCCGAGGCAGCATCGCCCGGGGCAAGAGCGGCCACAGTGTCTGCCACAACAGCAGCGGCAGTAGAGCAAAGACAAGAGAAAGTGTCCGCTCGGTCGCCAGCAGTGAACGCGCGTCCCAAGTCTCGCAAGAAAACGACAGAGGACGCAAGAGCGACGACAGAGCTACTGAACAGCGCGCTCGTTGTCAACTGCTTGCGGTGCGGCCGGATCGAGTACGACGGAGGACGCCGCTGCACGTTTTGCAGCACGGAGCTCCGCTACGAGGCAGAAGCAGCCACGACAGGTCTCGCCGCGCAGCAGCACATGGAGGAGCTGCCCGTGCGGCTCGACGAGACGGGCACGCGCAGACTGGATGCTGAGCAGTGTTTCTACGACGAAGATCCAGTGGAGGCGCAACGTGGCGACGAGGACAACGGCCCTCGCAGCAGTTCTGCTCGACGGCCTATCGCGACGGCGCTGGCTGTGGACAAAGACCAGGTGGTGGACGTCAGGATCGCTTGCAACGAGCAGCTTTCGACGCACGCGAGGGAGATCGTGGACCGTGTCACACGCAACCTTTGCCACGCTGGCGCGTGGCAAAGGTCGCGTCCCCCACTGCGTGACGGACGCGCCAGCGGCTTCGCGTCGCAGCGTCCGTGAGCCGGTTGTGGTAGTCGACGACTCGTCCAACCTGCTCTATGTGTAACAGCCAGACCCCGTCGATACGTTACATGCAGTCAGTCGCTCCGTCCTTCGCCCACAAAGTCAGTGCCTCGCCCAGCGCTGGCCTGGCACTTGTCGCATGGGAAGCTGCCGCCAGCTGCAGGTGAAACATCACGCTGTCCGCACGTTCGTCCCGTAGAACCAGGCGGCCGGTTAGACGGCCCGTGGCCGCCCCCGCTCTTCTACGACACGACCGAACGGTCACTGGCTCCGTGCGTCTGCGTGAGACACGTTGCAACTATGCAGTTTCTGCCGGTCGTCGCCGACTTGAAAAACCGGCGCGCGAGTGGCGATCGGTCATTTGTGGTTTGTCGCCGTCGTCGCCGCCGCGTTCTTTTGCCTCGCCGCGCCCGAGCGGCCGCGGTCGACGATCCCTGCAAAAGCAGCAGCAGCAGCAACAACAGCTCTTGGCCGCCATGTCGACAACGGTCAGTCTCGAGGCATCGAGCGCCTTGCAACGCCGCGTGGCAGCTGCCGCGTCGTCGAGCCCCGGCACGACGGCGCCCCGGAACCCGCTCTGGGACTTTTACGCCTGCGGCCTCGTGGACGAGACCGACGAGGGCTCTGGCGGAGAAGACACGGAGGACGAGCTGGAGACGCAAGCGTGGCTGCTGTTCCAGCGCCAACGCGCGCAAGCGCGTCTCGCCAGCGCGTGCCAGCGCGAGGCCCGCGTTATGCGCGCCGCGAAGCACTGACGTGACAGCGACTGACCATCTCCGCGCGCCGTGCGACTCGGCACAGATACTGACAGCGGCTACTTCCGCCACGACTCAACTCGCGTGCCCCCATGCGCGACGACACTATTCCGACTCTGTACGGCTATTTACCAATCAATAGACTCATGGGACCGACCCGTGCGCTGCGGACCTGTGGTCACGCGCCGCAAGTTTCGTTCCCTTTTCTCTCTCTCTCTTATTGCGCTCTTGCGCGTGATGCGCTGCAGGACGCCGCGCGCTTGCTGCACCGGGTGCAGAACGTGACCTCCTGAACAACACGCGTCGCATGTTGTTGCAATGCCCACGTCTGAACGACAGTGCGTTGTCGTCGAGTCAGCTCAGCGCAGTGTACTTACTTCAGTTTCGGACCGCGACGAAGAGGTCAGGACCATCTCCGACGTAGCACACGCGCGGTCAGAGGTCGCCCGTGACATTAGCGCGAGCCCTACTGCTACTATCGCCGTACATCAACACTTTCTTATGCAAGTAGATGCAGGATACGCTGTGGGCACGCAGACTGAGGCTGTCACGAGGTCACGCAGGTGTAGCCATACCACATTCATGCTCACCCACAGATAGAAAGTCTCTACACGTCGGCTCGCGCGCGTCGTCCACCCGATTGCATCCATTGTCAAGAACGGCGTCTCGTCGGCCCCTTCTTCGTGTCCAGAGACCAAGTGCCGCTTTTCTGTGGCTCTCGACGACCGCAGCAACGCACGATTCTGATTCACAGCTCTTCCTCGTCGCGTAATCATATCACCGAGTGATTGGCCGTCGCCTGACCGACTGACAGATCGATTCACCGACCGACCGACCGACCGACCGACCAATTGCTCGGGCGCCACGGAAGACATTCCAGATGGCTACCACCACCGCCACAGTCTCGTCCCGCGTCCGCACGCGCTCTGCGTCCTATGGGACTGTCGACACGCTGCTCGCCTCGTCGCAGCAGCAGCTCCCGTCGTCCGCCTATCTCTTCAAGTTTCTCGTGCTCACGCAAGTGTTCATGTACCTCGAGGCGGGCGCTGTGCCGTCGCTCTTGCAGCAGTTCACGCTCACGTTCCGCCTCACTCCGCAGGAACAGGGCGTCTTGGGCGCGATCGTCTACATGGCCATCTCGCTCGCGTCTCCCTGGTGCAGCGCGCTCTTCCGCCGCTTTGACCCGCGCCAGCTCCTCGGCGTCTCGCTCGTGGTCAACAACCTCGCCGTGCTGGGCTTCGCGTGCGCGCCCACGACCGCGTGGTACTCGACGCCACTGCTCATTTCGTTCCGCGGCTTGATCGGCCTGACGCAGTCGTTGAGCTGCGTGTACTCCCCCCTGTGGGTGCACGACTACGCGCCAAAGGCCAAGCGCGGGGCCTGGATGAGCTACTTGCAAGGGGCAGTGCCCGTGGGCATCACGCTCGGCTACTTTGCCGGGTCCGTTGCGATTTGGTCGGCTTCGCAGGACTCAAAGCAAGCAGCGACGGCATCGCAGCTTAGCATCGTCCCCACGCTGTACGACATCGCGCTCGCGGCCACGACAAGCAAACGCGCTGGTCTCGTTGACAGCATGGACGATGCCTTGTCCAGGAGGCTGTGCCACGGTATCTACTGCTGGCGCTGGCCGTTCCTCACGCAATTTGCACTCGTTCTGCCACTGTGTATCCTGATCTTTTTCGTGCCACGGGCCCACGTCCAACTCCGCTCGACTCGTCGGCGTCGCTCGATTGCGATCGTAGACATTGACGAGGACGAAGACGTTTGGAGTGAGCAACGCACGACGCGGGAGAACTGTGCTGCTGATGATCAAGTGCGTGTGTTGATCGGACACGAAAGGAACGGCACCGCATTGAATGGCTACTGCTCGCGATCATCGGAATCGCACGAACAGGCCGAACCGGTGTCACGATGGAGCGATTTGCAGCTGCTGCTCCAGCAGAAGGTCTACGTGTGCATCGTCATGGGCCTGTCGGGTTTATTCTTTGTGGTTGCAGGCATTCAGTTCTGGACGACGCTGTACTTGGAGACGAATACAAAAGACTCGGTGTACAAGATCCACGCGGCCTACCTCTTGGTTAGCGGCACGGGACCGCTAGCGGGTGTCTTCTTTGGCGGGTGGCTCATCGATCAGTTCGGAGGATACTCGGGCCCGTACCATCAAAAGCAAGCACTGCGCGTATGCGTGGTACTTGGCGGCGCGAGCTGCCTCGTAGCTCTCCCGCTGTCGTTTGTTCACAACACCGTCTACATTGCGGTACTTCTATGGCTCATGCTGTTCTGTGGCGGCAGCATTCTTCCCGCCTGCTCCGGCATTGTGATCTCGGCAGCCCCACGGCGACTGCGTCCATTAGCATCTTCCGTTGCGTATGCGAGCTACAATTTTTTTGGGTATGCAGCGTCGAACTACATCCCTGGCTTGATCATGAACTTCATTATCAACCCGGTCGTTGACGTGGATCCAGACGCCGATGGCCTTGCAAGCGTTGGCACATGCAATGCTGCCTGCACATACCGCGTGGGGTTCCGAATTGTATTATTGTGGAGTGTCTGGGCCTTCTTTTGCCTAACGTGTGGTGCTGTCGAGTCGGGTCGGAACTACGTCGCAACAGCCACTGCGCATCATAATGGACGCGAGGGCGGGAAGCAGCTTCCACTGGTGCTCAAGAGCGCAGTGTAATGTTATTGTGAGACGAAACCGCAGCGGTAGCTGGTGAGAGATACGACGGGATCTCGAGCAAACAGAGTCCCGGAAGACGAAAAAAGCCTCGGTAGAAGACGGGTATCGTGTCTATTGCTTCGAATCGTAAGCTGTGTGTTGATCTGATCTTGCCTTCATTGCGTTCAGGCTACTTTGTCATCATTCGCTGCAGCCGCGGTGCCTTCCGCAACAGTGTGTTCAGCATCGTACCCACGAAGAAAGCGACGACAGTCGATGTCATTGCAATCACGTTGTACGGCATGCTGAAGTCAGGCGTTGGCAACGACACGAGCAAGGGCTCGGTGAACAAGGTGGTGGTGGTGAAGAATGGGACTCCGACATCCTTGCCACAGACCGAGTCGTTGCCCGACCTGTTGAAGATTACCACGCCGGGGGCAATGTCGAACCCTCGATTGGCGTCGGGTGGATGCTCTGATAGATGCAAGAATGCTTTCTCCATCCGAAGTGAAAACACCAGCGTCGTGTTCGCCGGCAGAAAAGCTTCAAGACGCAACTGGTTGGGCTGAGCAAACAACTCGGCCGGCACGAAGTCAAACGCTCGAATCAGCTCCCGTGCCTTCGGCTCACTACCACCGACACTTGCCCGAAAGGTGTGGAAGTAGAGACGAAGGTACCATGGTATAACATCGCGGTACGTCACAAGCATCCCGCACGACTGGTGGTTATTCTTGAGCTGCACTGCGATGCCACCGTGCACCTGGCCGTACCCGGTGACAAAGCGATGTACAGACACGGCATCCTGTTGCAACTTGAAGCTGTCTTGCAAAGAGGCTTCCTGCACCGCAGTGTTCCAGTCTATAAACCATGGACTGGAAAGCGACACGGGCTTTTCGCGAAGATCGACCGTGTCAATACCACACGACGACTTTCCTCTGTCGCTCTTGTCTTCCGTTACAATCAAGCTCTGGTCGGCAAGCGGACATGCACGCACCTCATCGCCAACGTGCTCCGCTGCAAAGAACAACGACCCGAGACTCCAGTGCTCGCTGTTGTGCGAGCTCGGACTTAGCACGGCAGTGAGGTGCTGTCGAAGGGCCCACGTGCCGTCCAGCGATCTCGTCGCCAACAGTGACAGCGACAGGTACTCCCCCGACAAGACGTTGATGGGATCAATGAGAGATCCGAGTCCAGCGATCCCTCGACACGGCAGCATCTTGAGCCAGGGCGTCAAGTTCTCCGTGCAAAGCTCTTCACGAGCGAGCGCGCCGTGCAGAAACGTGTGGGCTGCGTCCGTCGTGATCGTGGCGCCGAGTTCGTGTGCACTGGACGACGGCAGCAGTTGTGTCACGACCGTCTCGTCCATCTGGTTCAGCGACGCCGAGAAGATGCCGCCCATCTGCGACGTGACTCCTTTCCAGCGCTGCATAGGAGTGGCAGTGCCCCGTAGCGTCACCTGCAGCCGCGTACCGAACGGGACGTGGCCAACGGGAGAGCTGTCGTTCATGCGCTGTAGGGGCCCATAGCGCCAGTCCGCATACCGCCCGACAGAGAACGACAGATGCAGAGACTCGACGTCGTAGCGCTCGAGGATCTGACGCAGGACGGTGGGCACGAGCGACGCGCCATCGGCAGCTGGCGAAGAGCTGTTGATGGCGAACTCGAGACGGGCGAGAACCTGATTGATGGCCGGGAGAGGACGTAGCGTGAGCCGCTCGAGGTACGCGCCGTGGACTGCGGGAAGAAGCACCACCGCGAGAAGCCATAGGGCGGTGAGCGTCATCTCGGCATGTGTTTGGTTTGGTATCGCAACGTAAGCGCGTGCAAGTTGCAGCAGCGTTTTCAGATGGGAAGGCGGGATGAAACGGTCTGTGGGGCAAGAGTTCACGCAAGTCAATACTTTTGCTCGACAGGTTTTTAGGCTGTAAGCTACGTTTCTAAGCTCGATCTAGAATGGGCAACTTTTTGTCACTTGTATAGTTGCGATGCCTATTCTTACATCTGTTTGGAGAGCAGGCTTCGGAGCTCGCTCGTCCTTTGCCGCAAGAAAGACAAAAAACGCGTAGGAAAGATCACGGAATTTAGGAGCATGTAGACGCAAACAATCCCAAATTTAGCAATTTACGAAAAATGACATGCACTGAACCACGAAATCGAAACAGCACACTACGGTAGACGACCTAATGTATACGTGCCTCGAAATATTCGCAATAAATTTTCCATATATTATAATTCTCCTACTTGTACCTGCATTCACAAACTTTCTCATCAGAATTTATCAAAATTTATGGACAAAATAAAAAAAAATAAAATGACGCTTTAAGCATGACGTGAGACTATTGTTTATCGCTCACTTGCAGGCCAAATTGCTTCAATAATTTTGCTAAGATCTTTCCAAATGAAATTTAGCTGGTGAATAGCTGTCGCCATAACGGTATCGCCAACTTTACATAAAATGAGACAGCGCAGTGCCAAAGAATCGCTTTACGACGCCATAGCGATGTCTCTTGTATAGCCCAAGCAGCATGTATATAGGGAAATTGAGAAGATGAACATAATACTGAAGAGCTGACTTGAATATATTGGTAACTCGGGAGTTGGCCTCGTGAATGCCTGCGGACACGCTCAATAAAAAAAGCAGTGCCGAATTTTACCTTTAAAATTAATATTCCAACAATATTGACTCGCAAGAGTAAAAATGCTAAATTTTATCAATCAAGATTATACGTATGTTAGCTCAATTCGTGTCAATGATTTGTAACCGGCTCACCCCGTTACAGCATCCATGTTTCATATATGTGATCTTGATGTCGTGTATGCTTCAATGTGGACTATATGTGGTAATGCACTGGCGTTGGGAACGGGATGCACTTGGATCGAAATTCGCGGTGGGTGCTTAGGTTACAGATCGCCGGGATGGGCCAATGAACAGACGAACAACCAAAAAGGGGTGGCTTATCGAGTAACTGATGGCCCTTTTGGCCTAAAGCTTTATAGCGTACTGAAGTTTTGGATTATTTTAGTAGTTGCAACAGTTTAACCGTAATCGCAGATCACCCCCGGGTGATCTGAAGGACCGCGTGGCATAAATGTCCTATGTAGGGTACTCGTATTTTATTTTTGTTAATTTCTAATGCACAGCAATTTTGAATCGAGATGTGCCACAACGTTTCAGCCTAAATAGTATCTGTAGGAATAATGGATGAAAAATAGACGAATTTACACATCACGTTTACAAATGCCTTATGTACATGTTACGGTCTTATAACATTTGACAAACACTTTGGGTCATTTTGATGATAATTATCTTGTCATTGTTATGCATACACAGCTTATGGTAATTTGATAAGGTTTGAGAAAATAGTTCTGGGGTGGAGAATCGGTTGTTATGACCCCCTGACCAATTTCTATCTCACCATGAGCGACCTCGAAGCAAAATTATTCACTTATTATAGAGGCATATCGCGAAACAGTCTGTATGATGTGCTCACGCAAAGAGGCGGCTATGTCAAGGACGCATTATTATCATCTTTGAGCATATTCTATACGTAGTTAATGGAAACCGAGACACCCGATATCCCGTAAATTTTATGTATCATGACTGATAATACGTGTAGCAATGTCATATCTATCTCCACACCTTCCAGGTAAATATCGCCAGACAGCTCCACCACCACTACGATCAGAAGCATTTTCTTATATGAAGACCGTGTCTATTCACAATAATGGTAAGCTTTGTCTGCCAACGCTTTACTTCGAATACTAAGAAGCAAAAACCAAATAACTTACAAGCGATCACTTGTATATTATGATAATCGTATTGGCGATAAGGGTGGCCTTACTTCTTCTTGTGGCGATTTAGTTGCGTGCGATAACAGACGCGCGTATCGTATGTAAAAAACTTCATTTAGTTGTTCGAGTTTTAGTCGATAGAGTAAGCTTGATCTCAATTATTCTAACGTCAACGCTGCGTCAAGTGGTGCGTCGGCTTTACATCATCAGAAGATATCATATAAAAGATCAAAGTAACCAGTCAGTCATCTGCTCAATTTCAAAATACCATGTAGACTTTTGCCTTTTCCACAACCTTTGTCCATCTAAGTTACGAGATCTTAAATTCGTCAATACATATTATCATAAATGACGATCAGAAGCTTTTGTTCAGATCAGATGCTTTATCCACCATACCGATAGTGCCTGAACCTTGCGTGAAGCATATTAATTTTTCTTGTCAAGCTCGTTTTTAGTCTCTCAGAATTTTCTCAATAACACTAAAAAGTGCCTGTCATCTTTTGGTATCTTTAATCTATTGTTGTCGTCGTTTACTGTTCGTCTTGTAGTTTTTATCAATTTGTTAGGATCTAAAATTGACAATCGACTTGGCTATGTGTTTATACTGCTATATAGTCCATGAAAAAGCACTGGCGACAACTTCTCGTGGTGTCAAGTAGGAACAGCTTAAGTTGTATAAAAGTTACAATATGAACATAGATCTACATGCGATATATTGAATACCTCGTAGTTGTACGCGTGTAATAACAACGCACCTTTTTCCTATTGCACGATGACTATTGGTGAGAAGAGAGCATAATGTTGTGTTTACAAGTATCAAATAAGTAAAGTTGATATGCATAGGCACGTTGAAGTATACTGGTATCCGCATACACTTTGAATGCTTGTACGTATAGCATATATTTTCATTTATGTTCTACTTTACACCTCGTATATCAATTCATATGCTCATGTTTATGGAGTTCATCGTTTTTCGTTTCCCGTACAAGTAATTCAACTACAATTTCTAATTAAGATACAAAATGAGCTCCGGACAGAGAAGGGTTACCAGGAAAAGTTTGATGCTGGGATCACGCATGAAATTCCAATATAGTATGCGTGACCAAAACGGTCAGCCTTTGCTCTTTCATCTTTTGACACATGCAAATATGTACATACTTCTTATACTATTTATCGTATGTGTGCAAATTCTGAATATATATAGTCGAAAATACCAGCATTATTCATAAAAGTAGGCATTATGTCGATAATGCGGGCGACGTGCGAGTGCAAAGACATTACGTAAATTCAACTCACTGTCTAGTTTGATAAACCTTTACGGTGAGTGTGCTTAGCAGTATCGATCAAGAAAAAGAAACGTCTAATGCTTAGCAATTTGCATGTAGTATAATAAGACAATGAAGTCTACTTAACATGCATTTTTCAACTTCCGGCGTAGTAAATAGCCGAGTTGTTTTAACCTTCTCGAAATGCTGATTTTCTACCGCTGACAATTTCAGCCGCTTCTGCCGCTGGTAGGGCTACCACTAATTTTGTGCTACCAAGTTGTGGGGTAACCTCTGCGTAAACTTTTTGCGCTTAAATTTCATAAACTTTTTTTATTTATCACTTTATATATCATCACTAGCGCGTGTGCGTGCGTGACTTACAGAAAATACCATGCGGATGTACAGAAGTGGCGATTCCATATGAGATCAATCGCTTGGCATGGATCACCGGCTTGACGACTTAGCGAGTTCTTTTCTGATCCGTGTATTTTGTAAATCTGACTCTCACCTTGTGTACTCGCTGGGTGGGGTCGATTGGACGATTAGCTACAGAATAACAAGATCTTGATCTTGCTGTTAATGTGTTTTCTCGAGCTTATGCTGCACAGAGATGTTTGCAATATGATCTCGGTTAGTTTCTTGATTAATCAATGATTATCGATGTCGATCTGGTCTCGAGATCTTAATCGATCTGATCTTTCCAAAATTTAGTTTCTATGCAAATATGATAAGACACAATGACGCTTGATATACTTGATATAGCCTCGTGTCAACTTCGGGAGTCTTGTCTTTTCCGACCAATCTCTCAAACAGGATCCAGAATTTGTGGATAGTATGATAATTGCGACCGCGTCGCCCAAACAACCAAGACAAAAGTTATACATACTGCTATCGAATGTCTAGAAATATGAAGTCCCTTTGCGCACCAGCTCGACAACTATGCCCAAATGGCGCCAAAGTGTAACAAGTAATGTGCTATCAGATTACATATTTTAGCATAGACGATCGTGATTGCTGCTATCTATTTTTAAAATGAACCGACGTCAATAAAACAATAACGGACATCTATTAGGCTCGAGCTAATATTGGGACAATCTGAGGATCACTTTGTAAGTTGTAAAAGTTTAACTTTTGGCATCAGGCGATAGCGTAATAAGTTGTGCAAAACGCTGGGATGACACATTTATCTTCGACATGCTCCGTTAACAACGCGATAGTTAAATCATGACTTTCTACACGTGTAATTAGCCTGATACTAGAGTGGCTACTGTATAGCTAGTAAAGACAGGCAACGAGATAGCAGCACGATCGTCGCTTATGTTTATAATATCTAAATGCTGAGTATTCAAAGGAACGATACAAAAATATTTTGTTTTCACACAGATCGACCGAATAGCCTAAGTGGCTCGATGTTAAATTTTGCTGAGATATAAGTCAACAGATTGAAGCCTCACGGTCATTCTGAATATAATTTGCTCGTATTTTTATCATCAATCAATTCTAGAGGATGTCGAAATAAATCGTTCGTTATTACGAATTATAGTCATGGAAAGCGCAAGATAAAATGTTAATCGTTCAATCAAGAACATATCTACTTAAGGACGTGACAAATTTATATGGTGAAAAGAGTGCAATATATTCATTCACAGCTGACTTAAAAGTAAATGCAATCCGTTGGTTTGACACAAGCCATGTAGACGATCAACATTGTTCGAGCGCGTAT